TTTTTATTTTATTTTTTTATTTATTGAATTATGCTCCACTTCAGCTGGAATGCCAGAGAATGTTCTCTGCTATTTCAGCTGCTCTAAAATGCTGCACACAGATACACACATACATAAAAATACATATAACACTTGCTTGTCTAATGTCACTAGATGTCATGCGTCATGACATTTCACTGTTCAGTACACAATCTGAAGAAAATATCTTCCAAAATAACATACAAGGAAGAGTGGTTGAGGAAACATTGAGGAGCACTTAAAGCAAGAACCACAACTAACCTATCTATCTATCTCTGTATCTCTCTGCTCATCTACCCATCCATCCATCTATCCATTCATCATAGACTTGGTAGACTTGATTTTGATTAACTGATATATTTCATAAAGCATTAATCTTTATTTTATTTAGCATTTTCTTGAGAAAAAAATATATACAATTTTCAATTTACTTTCTTACAAGTAAAAATAAAAGTCTTTCATCAAAATAAATGGATCATTTAATTTAAGTAGATTCACTCATTCCTTTCAAGAAGAACAATGCTTACATTAATCATAGTACTTTTGAAGAAATACTGTTTTGACCTGAAATGATAAAGATGCTGATTAGAGGGTCATATAGTGTTATCTATTTTATAATTTTTAATAATCTAACTGGTTGAAATAGTGGTAAATGTGAGAATATAATAATAGAAGTTATTTGTAATTTTAATTATGGTTACAATAAACTTAGAGGTGTAATAAAGATGTGATTATTAGGATAACTAAAGTTTCATTCAGAGACTAATAAATAATAAATATACATACACTATATGGCCAAATGTATTTGGATACCTGCCTATCAAACCTATATAAGAGCTTGTTGGACATCTCATTTCAAAAGTATGGATATTAATATGAAATTGCCTCTCCACCTCCTTTCTGGCTATAGCACTCGCCACTCATCTGGGAACGTGTGTTTGTGATAATTTGTGCCCATTCCGTCAAAAGAGTATTTGTGAATTAACACAACGGTCTTGCTCGCAGGTGCAGGCCACTCTGGGTTGCACCACACCAAACTCATAAAATCATGTCTTTATGGACCTTGCTTTATGCCAAGGGACACAATATTGCTGGAACACAAAAGGGACTTCCTTATATGGTTGCCACAAAAATAGAAGCACTTCATTATCTAAAATCTATGTGTCTGTTAGCAGTAAGATGCCTCTTCACAGGAAATAAGGGGCCTAACTGAAACTAAAAAAACAGCGCCATTATCCCTCCTCAATAAAACTTTACAGTAGGTAGGCACATGCATTAAAGTAAGTCATGACCTCTTGGCATCTGCTACACCTGATTCTTGCCAAAACTGCTAATAGTTAAAAAGTGATTTATCACCCTATAGAACATCTTAATACTAAACCAAAGTTTAATGGTGACATGCTTTACACCACTCCAACCTACACAAGGCTTGTATACAGCTGCTTGGCCATGGAAACCCATTTCATGAAGCTCCAGATCCACAGTTCTTTTGCTGATGTTGTTTCCAGAGGCAGATTGGAACTCTGTAGTGTGATGACTGGATATGGCTATTTTTACACGCTTTTCTTGTTATCACATGGCATCTTCAAGTTATAAGTATACATGGTGTACCACTTTATGGTTGGTCTGTTGTTGCTCCTGGATAAATCCACAATAATAGCATTTATGATTGACTAGGGCGCATCTAGTATGACATAAATTTAATGAACTTTGGTGATGGGGGCATCCTTTAACAGTGGCATGTGTAAAGTCACTGAGCTCTTCATGAATTATTATTTTTACAATATTTATCTGTGGAGGTTGCATGGCTGGATTTTATGCACCTCTTTGCACTGTCAAATGCCAAAACACCTGAACCGACTGGAGACCGATTGGACCCCATGTGCAGATTGGCACTATAGAGGACAGGACGATTGCAAAGCATTATTTATTTATTTACCACTATTTTTAATTAAAAGTTAATTAATGTAAGTCTTTCTATCTCTGGATTTATATCGTTTTATTTCTATAGATAAATAGTTTCTGGCACCTAAATATCTTACTTGACAGACGCAACTTAAAAAAAAATCTAATCAAGCATATTTTTAAATCAAACTTGCTCTTGTCAACACTATCCATTAGATTATTTCTTGTGGTTTGGGTAAAACCCACAATTCATCACCATTCACCAAATTAAGTTAAATACATGACAGTTTGTCACTACATGGCACTCTCTACATAGTGGTGATGCCTAAGGGACCAGAGGATACATCCATGTCAGTTATGAGTACAGTTCACAAGTGATGTGTCTTCCCTAGAGTTTTTGGGACTATCTCATGTCGGAAAGGCAAAAGGTATACTGTAACTGGATTTCCTAAGGCTATCCAGTGGGACAGCAGGAAGTATGGTATCCTTAAAAGACTCAGAGAGCTTATACAATACCTCATTTGGAAACATCTGCACCCATAATACAGGGGCATCTTGTCACCTTCCCACATTGCTATTGTATCAGAGGATTAATAGAAAAGTTGCAAGACATGCAAGGTTTTTTTCTTTATTTAAAAACATATCTTAACATACAAATTAAGCTCTGCGCTCAAACTCCTGCTATGCCTGGGTGTCAGCAATGACTATAGTACACATCAGCCCCAATGTATGCAATAATTACCAAAGAAAAAAAAGTTTCTTGCGCACTATTCCAAATCCCTATGCACATTGAAATAAGTGGAATTTTTTTTAGTATCCATTAAAGTGAAAGCTTACCTTCCACGTCAAGGGAAAACAAATTACCGGGCTGTTTTCAGCAAAATCTCTTATGCGACCGAGATGGGTATTTTTCAAAACCCCTAAGCAATTATTAACCCTTAATAGGGAACACATGGGGTGGGTGGCAGGTTTTGCCTTGACGTGGCAGGTGCACAAGTATCTTTTCTCTTTGGTTTTAAAAAACATATCAGTTTTGTAAAAAACAGACACAAAAAAAATAAAACAACAAATTCCAGTTAAGTCACAAATAAATAAATAAATAAAAACACAGTAACACAAGTAAAAGCTAATATTATGTGCTGGTAACTTTTTTTTTTTCAAGAATTACATCTCAATTTTAAGAGGTTCCCTTTAAAGGTATTCTCCAAGAACCATAACCACACAGTAATATAGCGGTTATGGCACGTGGAATTTTCCTTTAATGATATTATGAATTCTCTTCAAGGTAATGATAAATGTTGCTTTTCATTCTCTTACAATTTATAAAATTTTCCCATAATTTAAAAGAGAAATTGTCACATTTTTCCTTAACATATGTTTCATAAGCATTATGTTTTTCTGTATTTTTCTTTCATTTTTGTACTTGCTAAAAAATAATAATGTACCGTATGGATAATATTCTATATGCTAGATGAAACTTTATGAAAGTTCCATTAATTCATTAAATGAGCCTTGGTTGAACTAAAACTTAGTACAAAGAATCCATTTTACTAGTGTTTTTATGTATTTTGTTTAACCCCTTAGCGACCAGACCGATTTCAATTTTCTTACCGTTAAAGGACCACTATAGGCACCCAGACCACTTCAGCTTAATGAAGTGGTCTGGGTGCCAGGTCCATCTTGGGTTAACTCTGCCAGCTGTAAACATAGCAGTTTAAGAGAAACTGCTATGTTTACATATGGGTTAATCCAGCCTCTAGTGGCTTGGGAGCACGCCAGCGTCAATAGTGAGAGCACGCCAGTGAGAGCACGCCAGTGTCCATAGGAAAGCATTGTAAATGCTGCTCTTGCTGCGCGTGCGCATTCAGCCAACGGGGAGGAACGGAGGAGGAGGAGAGCTCCCCGCCCAGCGCTGTTAAAAGGTAAGTTTTAACCCTTTTCCCCTTTCCAGAGCCGGGCGGGAGGGGGACCCTGAGGGTGGGGGCACCCTCAGGGCACTATAGTGGTCCTTTAAGTATAAAAATAATCGCAAGTTCCTCTCACTTTTTTTTTTATGGACAAAACTGTTGCTCTACATTTATACCCTGACACCTCATTTCTGTCTTTTCTGCTACATGCCAAAAAAATTCACCTTTCTACCAATTTTTATTCATCTTTTAGATTTGTTGCTCTTTTTTTCCTGATGATTTTACAAATTAATACATTTACAAAACAGGACAAATAAATATAACTTGGGAAAAAAAGGCACCTTTTTGTTCAAATTTTTTCCTCAACCCCTTCACTACCAAGCTTTACAAAAAAAAAAAAAAAACACAGCCAGAATTTGAGTGTTTTGGCCATCAAGGAAGATAATGTTTAAATGTATTTTTTGTTTTGGTATGCATAGATAGAATTGTATTTAATTGTTTTGGTATGCATAGATAGAATTGTATTTAATTTCGTTTTTTTTAAAAACACCTAACAAGAGCAGACATTAGGCTGTTAGTGTAGGACCTGCCAAAGATGGGGTAATATAATGTAACTAAACCCCCATTATTTTTGCCTAGATTAGGTGTTTTTAAAAAAACGAATAAAATCTTTCAACATTGAAGTTGCCGTTTAGTGGATAGGTGAGTGCGCTGGATCTTGTGTTTTGTATTATTTGGCCCCCAGCAGCAACCCCATTTATGCATGTTCAGGTGAGTGCAGCCAACCCCCCCTTGTTTCATATTTATATATTTGGGAGTCTAGCCAACTACTTGGTTTTGCACCCCTCCCTGTCACAGGTGCCTCATCCCAGGGCCCTATTTAGCCTTGTACTGCAGAGAGCCCCAGATGGAATTTTTTCCTCAAGTAAGTGGTTAATCTCATAAGAGCAGACATTAGGCTGTTAGTGTAGGACCTGCCAAAGATGGGGTACATTGACGTTGTGGCAGGCTTATGCAATGTATGATCATATAATGTAACTAAAACCCCATTATTTTTGCCTAGATTAGGTGTTTTTAAAAAAACAAATAAAATCTTTCAACATTGAAGTTGCCGTTTAGTGGATAGGTGAGTGCGCTGGATCTTGTGTTTTGTATTATTTGGCCCCCAGCAGCACCCCCATTTATGCATGTTCAGGTGAGTGCAGCCAAACCCCCCCCTTGTTTCATATATATATATATATATATATATATATATATATATATATGAAACCAAGAGGGCTGCACTCACCTGAACATGCATATATTATAGGGTGCTGCTGGGGCCAGTATATACAACATACAGAATACACAATCCAGCGGACTCGCTTATTCACTAAGCAATGATTTAAAATCTTGCACATTGTGTATTTTGTATGTTGTATATATTGGCCCCAGCAGCATCCTATAATATATGCATGTTCAGGTGAGTGTAGCCTTAGCCATCTTTGGTTTAATTTATTTATATATTTGGGAGTCCAGGCCAACTCCTTGGTTTTGCACCCCTCCCTGTCAGAGGTCCCTCATTCCAGGACCCTATTTAGCCTTGACCTGCAGAGAATCCCAGGAGGAAGTATTTCCCAAGTAAGTGGATTAATCTTATAAGAGCAGGCATTAGGCTGCTAGAGTAGGACCTGCCAAGAATGGGGTACATTGATGTTGTGGCAGGCTTATGCAATATATGATCATATAATGTAACTAAACCCCTACATCCAAGTGAGTCCAGCACTCCCTCTCACAGTCTTGTGTTTCAAAATATATAGTTTGAGGAAAGTTCACTCATAGGGCTCTGTAGATGAGTTTTCAAACTTTTATTGTGCAAATATATACACCAAAATCGTTTTAACATTTCAGTTCAATGTAGGACTTTTTACAAGACAAGTGTAGGCACCAAAAACATGATTTAAATAATGTGAACGTAAAAAAGTGATTGGGATTATATAGGTATGCAACCAAACAACTAGCTTGCCTCACACAATATAAAGACACCTCTGCAAGTATAATAGCCTGTCACACTACTTACTGTGCTTTCAATGCCTATATACCACATCAAATACAAGCTACGCACATAAAATCTCAAGCACAACAAGTTTTGATATATGCATATCTAGTCTAACGTGTTACATTATAAAATGCTACTGTCTAATAGCATGTTACCCTCACGTTATAAAATGAAAAAAATTGTGCTGTCTAAAATGCCACACATTGAAATGTCATGCAATTGCCTGTAGATGCTGTCATGGCACTGCACCCTTGTTGTTAATCTATGCACAAGAAAAAATAAAGAATTAAAAAAAAAAAAATGATTGGGAAACAAATTCTGTGACATATTTTAAGACGTGAAAAATTGCTGCTCACACTGAATAAACTTAAAGTGCTTATAAAAAAACTCCTTTATTGTGAATTAGTTATATCTTAAAAGTAAGGGTGTTGATAATATGACTTATGTATTGGGACATTTAAAAAGCGTGAGAAGGTGTTATATATCGGGTTTCCATCATGAGGAATATCAATCGTTGGGAAAATAGCGGTTTAGGTGATATTCCCTACAACTGAAACCTGATATATAACACCTTCTAACACTTTTTAAATGTCAAAATACATAAGTAACTTCATCAACACCCTCACTTTTAGGATGCAGTGAGCATCTAATTTGCATCCTGCTTCTTCTAAAATTTTAATGTTAAAATAAATGAAACCAGTTAATTCCATTGCACACACTCTTCTTCTAAGTATATCACAAACTCAGTAGATCTACACACTACTTTTTCCATCTGTTCAACTCTTTCCTTCAGCCGAGATCTTGTGCCATCTGATTTTGTATGTCTCTAAGCAGTGCAGAAAAACAGCCGTAGTAAGTAAAACAGTGCCATGAGTATCTGGGCATGTTTCCTCCTGTAATTTAGCACTTCCCAAACCATGCACCATCTTTTCCTAAGGCTACTGTATCCACAAACGAATTTGTAAAAAAAGACAAACCTGTATTAATGTGCCATGATAATGTCAGCAATAATATCTTCTAATGTATCTTCTATAGTTATAGAAATTTGATACAAAAATAAAAAATATATGTTTGGATTCTGGTTTTAGAATTTACTAGAGATAATCTTTTTGGTAGAAAGAGATTTTTATGTACTATATTAAAATTGACAAAACACATTTTTTTGATAAGTATATTTTACAGCAGAAGACATTTTCTGAAAATGTTTAATCATGGCCAACTGCCAGGCCTCACATGTTGATGAGGGACCATGGTCTCAAATCTTTCTCATGCTCTAAAAACGCAGCTGTGTTACCTTAGTGACAGAGAGTCATGTGATATATTATCATTTACTGGTGCATTCAGACCCTTGTTATGTGCACCGGCAATGAGGTATTTTAAGAGCATTGTGATCCAACAGAATTGCAACGATCAATTCTCTGTCAAAATAAACATATTAAAGGGATATGCTTTGAGAGCTATAAATTTTGGCCATATCATACTTTCTTGGAAAGTCACATTAGGTTAGTGCTGAATAATGTTATACATTTACTTTTGTTTTTCATCCATTTATGCTTTCATCACTTTCCCTAATGTCAATTACGGTGGATATTACATTATTAAATTTTATTCCTTTACACCTCCAGTAAAGATTATCAAGTCAGTGTGCAGCATGTATGCTTAAAGTGATTCTATAGTGTTTGGAATACATAGTTGTGTTTCTAGCACTATAGTGCCCACTGGAACCCACTCCCCCGTGCACTTAAAGGGTTAAAAACCCATTATTCAATTACCTAATTCCAGCACCAATTTCCTTCAGCGCTGGGTCAACGCTCCACCTACTCTAACATCATCTGATTGGGGGACCTAATGCACATGCGTAGCGAGCACTGCAAGCTCATTGGGCCCTTCTCCTAGGAAAGCCTGGAATCCATACTTTCCGATGAGGATTTCACTGACACTACAGGGAGTGCAGAATTATTAGGCAAATGAGTATTTTGACCACATCATCCTCTTTATGCATGTTGTCTTACTCCAAGCTGTATAGGCTCGAAAGCCTACTACCAATTAAGCATATTAGGTGATGTGCATCTCTGTAATGAGAAGGGGTGTGGTCTAATGACATCAACACCCTATATCAGGTGTGCATAATTATTAGGCAACTTCCTTTCCTTTGGCAAAATGGGTCAAAAGAAGGACTTGACAGGCTCAGAAAAGTCAAAAATAGTGAGATATCTTGCAGAGGGATGCAGCACTCTTAAAATTGCAAAGCTTCTGAAGCGTGATCATCGAACAATCAAGCGTTTCATTCAAAATAGTCAACAGGGTCGCAAGAAGCATGTGGAAAAACCAAGGTGCAAAATAACTGCCCATGAACTGAGAAAAGTCAAGCGTGCAGCTGCCACGATGCCACTTGCCACCAGTTTGGCCATATTTCAGAGCTGCAACATCACTGGAGTGCCCAAAAGCACAAGGTGTGCAATACTCAGAGACATGGCCAAGGTAAGAAAGGCTGAAAGACGACCACCACTGAACAAGACACACAAGCTGAAACGTCAAGACTGGGCCAAGAAATATCTCAAGACTGATTTTTCTAAGGTTTTATGGACTGATGAAATGAGAGTGAGTCTTGATGGGCCAGATGGATGGGCCCGTGGCTGGATTGGTAAAGGGCAGAGAGCTCCAGTCCGACTCAGACGCCAGCAAGGTGGAGGTGGAGTACTGGTTTGGGCTGGTATCATCAAAGATGAGCTTGTGGGGCCTTTTCGGGTTGAGGATGGAGTCAAGCTCAACTCCCAGTCCTACTGCCAGTTCCTGGAAGACACCTTCTTCAAGCAGTGGTACAGGAAGAAGTCTGCATCCTTCAAGAAAACATGATTTTCATGCAGGACAATGCTCCATCACACGCGTCCAAGTACTCCACAGCGTGGCTGGCAAGAAAGGGTATAAAAGAAGAAAATCTAATGACATGGCCTCCTTGTTCACCTGATCTGAACCCCATTGAGAACCTGTGGTCCATCATCAAATGTGAGATTTACAAGGAGGGAAAACAGTACACCTCTCTGAACAGTGTCTGGGAGGCTGTGGTTGCTGCTGCACGCAATGTTGATGGTGAACAGATCAAAACACTGACAGAATCCATGGATGGCAGGCTTTTGAGTGTCCTTGCAAAGAAAGGTGGCTATATTGGTCACTGATTTGTTTTTGTTTTGTTTTTGAATGTCAGAAATGTATATTTGTGAATGTTGAGATGTTATATTGGTTTCACTGGTAATAATAAATAATTGAAATGGGTATATATTTGTTTTTTGTTAAGTTGCCTAATAATTATGCACAGTAATAGTCACCTGCACACACAGATATCCCCCTAACATAGCTAAAACTAAAAACAAACTAAAAACTACTTCCAAAATATTCAGCTTTGATATTAATGAGTTTTTTGGGTTCATTGAGAACATGGTTGTTGTTCAATAATAAAATTAATCCTCAAAAATACAACTTGCCTAATAATTCTGCACTCCCTGTAGATGTCCTCATGCAGAGCGTGAGGATGTCCAGCATCATTTAGGGGACCCAGTTTTCAGTAAACTCCCGGAAGTATACACAAACCACTTCAATGAGCTGAAGGGGTCTCTGTGCAATAGTGCCCCTCTAAAAAGCAAACATTTTATTTTTAGCTGATTTTCTGCACATCTTTTCCTGCCAACCTTTCTCAGTGATTGGATAAATAATATCAAGAGTAGCGATGACACATTTTGTAAACAGTATATGTCCCATTTTAGCTTGAACTATGGGAGTTTCAGTTGCAAGAAAAAGTATGTGAACCCTTTGGAATGATATGGATTTCTGCACAAATTGGTCATAAAATGTGATCTGATCATCATCTAAGTCACAACAATAGACAATCACAGTCTGCTTAAACTAATAACACACAAAGAATGAAATGTTGCCATGTTTTTATTGAACACACCATGTAAACATTCACAGTGCAGTTGGAAAAAGTATGTGAACCCTTGGATTTAATAACTGGTTGAACCTCCTTTGGCAGCAATAACTTCAACCAAACGTTTCCTGTAGTTACAGATCAGACGTGCACAACGGTCAGGAGTAATTCTTGACCATTCCTCTTTACAGAACTGTTTCAGTTCAGCAATATTCTTGTGATGTCTGGTGTGAATCACTTTCTTGAGGTCATGCCACAGCATCTCAATCGGGTTGAGGTCAGGACTCTGACTGGGCCACTTCAGAAGGTGTATTTTCTTCTGTTTAAGCCATTCTGTTGTTGATTTACTTCTATG